CGATATTAAAATTTATTTTTAGGGACTTTTAGAGAGGATTTTGACTCTTTACTTTTCTTTTTCCTTTTATATTTTTTATTGAGTTTCCTGATGTGCTTGTTAAAGTGATTGAATATTCTCTATAAAAATATGTTACCATAAATAATTGGATAATAATTTGAAACTTTTTAATAAATACTATTAGGGAAAAATAAAAAAATTTTGGTAGTGTTACATACACCAAGTGTGTTAACTATTAACCTCTTATTATATAAATTATAAATATAAATTGATACATTAATTAATACACTAATTGATACATACAATGTTATTCAAAATCAAAAAATTAGATATCGTATCAACTGTGAGTCAAGATTTCCTCCTTACACTTCATCCTTGCATTTCTTACTTGCAGGGCTATTGGGCCCACTTTTGGGCTCAATTTTAATCATTTGAACCGTTAATATTTTAAGATTTGTTTAGTATATCATATTTGTAAAAAATCAAGTTGATTGGATATCAGAAAGCATGTGTTCGGAAAACTGTTTGTTAAATTTAAAAAAAAAAAAAGTTTTTAGTTCGATTTTTCAGAACACATGTTTTTTGATATTCGATCAACTTGATTTTTTACAGGTATGATATACTGAACAAATCTTAAAATATGAACGGTTCAAATTATTAAAATTAAGCCTAAAAATGAGCTTAAAAGTAGGCTCAATAGCCCTACAAGTAAGAAATGATGCAGGGAGGGATCCTTGCTCATCAACTGTACCTAAGAAATTTGTATGCAATAAATGTGTTTTGAAGAATGAGAGAGCATCTTGGCAGTTGGTTGGCATCATAAATTTCTAGTGTTTTGTGGGGCCGAAGAGGATGGAAGGTGCACCTCTGCCACTAATGGCCACGTTTTGGTTGGTATGAGCCATATGTCGTTTTTGGGAGAATTATCTGACAATGATGATAATTTAAAAAAAATTAATAATTTTTTTATAATTTTAATTATTAATATTTTTTTTTCCGTAAATATTTTTTGACTGACACGTCAAATCCCATCTTTTTTATGATAAAAAATAAAATTACATATAAAATAATAAAAATGAAATGAATGTCTATTTATAATTTCAAAAAATCCTTTTATCAGTCATATTCATTCCAATAAAGCAAACAGTAGTTTAGTTTAGTTGGGTTGGGTTGGTTTGTCTAAAAACCAAAAAGAATTAACAAAAATGCTTTGTGCCCCCAGTTTTTCAGACCCCCAGTGACCCCAGTGTTTTCTTATTGGCTGAAATTTTTTTTTTTTTTTTTTATCAGTCATATTCATTCCAATAAAGCAAACATTAGTTTAGTTTAGTTGGGTTGGGTTGGTTTGTCTAAAAACCAAAAAGAATTAAACAGCCTAAATGTGTAAAAAGACAAAGCCCTGTTTGATGTTGTTTATTGAAATTATTTATATATTTTTATTTCAAAAATTTATGTCAATATGATTTGTATAACTTCTATTATAGTTAGCGTAAATTACACTTTGCATCTTACACTTTGTACAAAATCTCACTTTGGTCTCTGCACATAAAATTGTGACAGTCAACTTTTTACATTTTTTTTGTCAAATATCACTTTGGTTCTTACACGTGAAATCGTGACAATTAATTTCTTACATTTATTAAATTGTGACAATCAACTCCTTACACTTTTAGTCAAGTGTCAATGTGTCCTTTTTGTTGCTCCATCGTATAAGTATTTAACAAAAGTCAGTTATGTGATAAGCATATGACTACAAAATGAAGGTAAAAGAAGAAAATCACACAAATTTTCTATCTATACACATTTCACCCTAAAATTTACATCAAATTTTGATTGTATTAAGTTAAAATAAAATACAAATTGTGAAGGATTAAAGAGATGAAAAAAATTAAAATAATGAAGCTATGTTTTCCACATTAACAGTCTTCGATTTCTTTATTGTCTTTTTATTTATTTATTTATTTCAAAAGTTTTATTTCTTAACTTCTTCGTCCTAATTTTTAACTTATGAACACGCATACACACATATATATTATAGCACTCTCACATGCTTATCGCGTAAGAGAAAGTGTATATTGGTGGAAAATAATAAATGATTTTTTTCTCTTACCCTCATTTCTATTAAAAACTTAAACAATAGAGTAATAGAAGGGGCAATTTGACACTTGATTAGAAGTAAAGGGGTTGACTGTCACGATTTTATGTATAGAGATAAAAATGATATTTGACAAAAAATGTAGGGAGTTGACTGTAACGATTTTATGTGTAAGGATTAAAGTGACATTTGGTGTGAAATATAAGAGTGTAAAATGTAATTTACCCTTACAGTTAATGGTGCAAAATAATAAAAAAAAAATTTAAAATTAATTGTTAAAAATAATGCTTTTTAAATTCTGACTTTTTATTATCAAATTTTTTGAAAAACTTTTTTAACCATAGTTGATTGTTTCACCAACCTGTCCTTGAGGTTAAAAGTTAATTTTTGACTTTTAATTTTATTTAAATTATATTACTTCTTTATTTTTTTGAATATTTAAAAAAAATTAAAAAATAAATTCTAACTAACTTTTCAAAATAAGATTTTTATGTATTTCATAAATGCCCACAATGGTGTGCAATACGCGTTTGACCTTTCTTAAATCCAAGTCCACAAACAAATGTTGTCATTTAAATATTCTTCGTACTGAATTTTATACAGAATTTTTTCACTAAAATAATCTAATAGCAAGATTATTCTAAATTAGTGGGGAAAAAAAAATTAAGAGAGCTCACAATTTTATATGATTTTACTTTTTGGAGGAATAAAATAAATTTTTTTTTTTTGTATTTAGTTTGCTATATTAATTTTTATTTATTTTTAAAATTTAAAAAACTGATTCTAAAATTAAAACCAAACATATTTTTATTTTAGAACGGAGGCCAGACAAATTTGGGAGAAGCCATGCAACATATAGACAAACAAAGGCATCCAAACATTATTTATTTTTTGGTTTTTTAGCATAAAACAAAGGTATCCAAACATTAATAACATTAGCAATGCCCATAGTTTTGTTATTGAAAAAGTCTATTTTGATAGACCAGTTTAACCTAAAATATATTTAACATGAATTAAATAATGATGCCGTTGAAATTAAGAGTAATTAAATTAGATGGGTATTTGTTTTGAAATAAATAACGGTGACTCAATCACATTATTTTTGTAAAAAAATAAATAAATCTGTATAATTGATTAATAATCATCTAAGGATTTCATTGTACAATTAACTAGGATAAAAAAGTCAAAAATGATTTTTTACCAAAAAAAAAAAAAAAAAAAAAAACTAAATAGGATACAAAAATTTGAATCACAATAGTAAAAGCTAGATTAGATTAGAGAGGCCAATGTTTGAATTTTGGTTTTGAATTAGCAAAGTTAATGCGTCAAAATCAAAGGAGATCATTACAAATTATGTCTTTTACCATACTTGGATGTTTTTGTTTTGACCTAGGTGGTGTCGACAATTTACACCCATTTATCAATTAGACGTATTCAATTGAAACCTTGATTCGCCCATTAACACTTACTCAAAAAACGTTTGAATTTGTCTAAGTTATAATAAATAAATTCAAATGCATTTTTTAAATAATTTGAATGAGTTGTATATGAATATTCATTTAAATCTAATAAAATAAAAATAATCTTTTTCACGATAACAAACTACGACCATTGTCGTTGTTGTCATGCGTCCACCTTGACCCCAACCCCACTTTGTTGCCACCATCGCCATTTTTATTATGCATTTGTTTCTATAGTCATTGTCGTTACTCTTTTACCATCACCTCTTCTACCATAACCACCACTACTATTGTCTCTGCCATGCCTTGCTTGACTTCTACCACCATGACCACTACTGCACTACCACCAATCTATTACCATCATCACCACTACAACAATTATCACCACTGCTTCACTCCTCCCCCACCATTACCACTCCACCAACAACACCACTATCACCCCCAACCTATTAAAAAAAATTGGGTAAATTACAAAGACAGCCCCTGAGATTTGCTAAAAGTACAGATCACCCATTGTGGTTTGTAAAATTACAAATACCCTCTTATTAAAAAATTTTATTTAACAGAATTAGCTAAAAAAATGAAATTCATAATTGTTCTCCTATATAATAATAAAATTACCTAAATTATTAATTGAACATATATTCTAACATCATTAAAAATTATTAATTGACTTAATGATTTATTAATAAAAGAGGCGATTTGTTATGAAATTAGAAATCTCAAGAGATAGAATGTAATTTCCAGAACTACAGGAGACGATTCGTATTTTAATGAAATCTCAGGAGGTGTATTTGTAATTTACCCAAAAAAATCCAATAAACTAACAAATTGCTCAGGTCAATTTATTCAAGCTGTATTTAATTCAACTTAATTAAATCTATTTATTAGATAGGCGAGCTTGAATTTGGTTATTTTAAAAAAATGCATAATTGATTTTAACCCATCCAAACTAATCCAAATCTACCCATTTTCCATCTTTATAAAAATTGAATTAATCAAAATTATAGAATAAAATAATATATAAGATAAATTGATTGTGTCGCATTATGTCACTGACAAAATCAACTAATCAGCACAACATACGTCATACTATTATTGTCGATCATTCCTACTTTTTCTAACAAGCCAAACACGATAATTGCGAGGGTAATCAGTGTCAACTTAATTTATAGGAATCAACCAATGAACCACTTTTATACGTGTAGTAATACTTACTACATAATAAAAATAAGTGACAAAACATGTCATAATTTGTTAAAATATTGGTCCTAATTAGCCGGCTGTTCGTTTTAGCCCCTTGTTTTGAACTTGAATTCAATCTTAGCTTCGACGAAATCATGCATCAACCCATGCCACATTGAAGTCGGCTGAGCAATCAACGTTTGAGAGTTTGACCAAACACCTCTCTCTTTCTTGGTATCTATCTATCTATCTATCTATCTATATATATATATATACAGAGAGAGAGAGAGTGTAATACAAAGAAAGATCATTGAGAGAACAACAATGGAGAAACCAACAAAGTCAAAGAACAAGTTCTTGAAGTTTCTACCAAAAGCAGCTTCAGCTGTAACGTTCCAAAGCCCTCCTTTTAGTCCAACAAAAGACAAGAGATGTTCAGACAGGCTCAAAACCCACATCGGAAAAGGCTTCTCCGGCCCAATCATATCCATAATTCCCGAAGAAGCTCGCCGGAAAACCAACAACTCACGCTCCGAAGAACCCCAAGAACAAGAACCCACTTCACCGAAAGTCTCGTGCATGGGCCAAATCAAACACAAAAACAAAAACAAGAACGAGAACAAGAACAAGACGAAGAAGAAGAAAGAGAAAAGCGTGCCGATGCCTAAAGAATTTAAACCCGTTATGTCTACAAAGTCATCGACGTTTCAGAATGTTTTACCCGGTAGAAAGTCTGATTCTTCAGTTGCTGATAGGCCTAAGTTGCCTGATAGAGCGCCGAGTTTGAGTCAGATGAGGAGGTTCGCGAGCGGTCGTGATTCGAATACGAAATTCGATTGGACGGCTCAGATTATGCCGGTGGATGGAGATGATGACAGCCGGGGTTATTATTCAGATGAAGAGAGTGAAGGTGAAGAAAGAGAGATCATAATTCCTTTCTCTGCACCGATACTCGGAGGTGGAAATGGAGATGGAGTAGGTTTGGAGAAAAGAAAAGAAATAAATCTATGGAAGAGAAGAACCATGGCTCAACCTAGGCCTCTTCAAGTTAATACCCTGGTCAGATCATGTTGATTAAGGTTTTCTTGAACCAGTTTTGAAGGTCAATTTAGTGTTTTGGTTTTTCTTGATTAAGGTTACTTTGAATCTAAAAACTGTAATTTCTTTGTTATTTTTATTTTTATGTTATGTTTAGATTTTGAATTTATAGAAGAAATTGTAGAGGAAAAGGATAATCTGTTTTCTTTTTCATCCATAATTTTTTTTCATAATTTAAAATCTAAATACAACTTTAGATTTGAAACTATCATTGTAAATGAGTTTATGAGATGAAAGATAGACATCCTTCTTGCATATCTAAATGCTAATATGCATTATTTTCTTGTTTAGTTTATTCCTTTTTATTATGTTTTGGGGTTTTTTTTAGATGAAATCTAACAATGTTAGGAATGGTAGGATTCGAGGGAATTTGACGGAATTGACATATAAAAACAAAATTTGATCTGTTTGGAGTGAATAGAATTTAAATGGGATTTAATTTGATAAAATTTGAAAGAAAGGGGGAAAAAATTCCCTTGAAATCTTATGAAAATAGTCGAATTTCATGGAATAAAAATTAATAAAATTTAATGTAATCCCATTACCTACATTATACCCTGCGTTTGTATAAGTTTCATACTAAGGGGTTGTTTGGAAAATGTTAAATTAGTGTACTTTTTGATTTTTTACAAAAAAATAAAAAATATAAATTGAGTTTGAAGTGATATGGTAGAGATGTGATGTGACTTAAATAACATAATTGTGACCTAAATAGGATAATGTGTTAAAATAGTACATGCCAAACAACCACTAATAAAAATATTTAAATGGTTGGGTTATTACCGTCTTTAAAACAGTATGTGTTATCATGTTTAATAGAATTTGTACGGAATGGACACAATGCTTATGAATCAATAAAAAATCTTGAAAAATATTTTTACAATTGTCATAAATTTCCAGAGAGATTAGTATAATATATAAAATAAAAAAAAAAAAAAAAAAAAAAAAAACTCCTCAAATCTCATAAAAATGGTAGAATTCCATGGGAATGAGAATTAATAAAATTTTACCTGCACTTTGCTCTCTTTATATGAGTTCACACTTAATAGGGACATCACTATTTGTTGGCAATACATTTTACTTTTTTTTTTTTTCTTTTTTTTTTTGTTGATTGTCACCTGTTAATTATAGTCAAGTTCAATTATGATCTGTCGATTGAAACTATAGACTATTTTTAAAGAAAAACATTAGCCACATTTGTTGTTGTTATTATTATTATTTCTGTCGACATGCATGCTGACGTGGTATGACAGATGTATTAAGGACGTTGCATGACGTGACATGATGACATGTTAAATGGAGGGCTAAAAAATTAGCCATTGCATCTATTTGAAAGTTAGTTATGGAGATCAAAAAGTCAAGACCAAGTTAAGCATCAAATCTGCAAAGTTGTTACTATGAACATGAGATATGGATGATATTTAGCCTCCGTTTGGGAAGTGGGTTGGCTTTTTGGCTTTTTTGACTATTTTAGCCTGGGCTAAAAAGCTTAGTTTGGGAATGAATTTTTGGCTTTTTGGCTTTTTTGATTTTTTTTGTGAGAGAAGAGTGTAATGATTATGGGTTAGATGTGATGTTTTGTTTGTTGTGGCTAAAATAGACTATTTTGTCTTTTGTGGCTAAAATAGCCCAAAAAACCCATAAACTCACTTCCCAAACGGTGCCTTAGGAAATCATGATCTGTTGAGGAAATCATAGGATTTGATTACCTCTTTTTCTCTCATGTGGTTAAGCCTATGAATAGGCTAAGAGAGATACAAAGAAAATCATTAGTCAAACCACTTACAAATGGTGATACTAGTTTTTAGTTAGTAGTGGTTAAATTAGCAACTTTAGGAGAAGATTAGTGATAACTTTTTTCAATCCCTATTTCTTTTCTTCTGTCGATTGCTATATTTTTTAGTTATTTGTTCTTGTTTAAATTCATGTAACTAGTAGTAAGTGACAATCAATTTGAATAATACATATTTTGTTATGTTCCTTCTTTACTTAATTATCTCTAAAGAAGTCCTTAATCTGTTTGAGGCATAGAACTCAACCACAAATCTAATATTTTTGTGTTTGTGAGAAAATTAATTTAAGACCTCGTTTGTCAACTATACATTTTAGCCAAAAAACTAAAAAGTCACATAAGTTGTCACATTACTCTTTCTACTTTTCTGCACATCTTTTCATAAATCTGTAGATTAACGATTAGGTTTAAATCAGATTTTTGCTAACACTAAATATTTTCTTTCTTTCTAATTCCTCATCATTCCAAACATAAATTGAATCATTTCCTTTTTAATCAAATCCCATTCTAAAGTGATTTGATTACAGACACGGGTGACTAGGAAAATGGATTTTGATTACAAAAGCTAATACTAGGTTTGCTCATCAAGTTAGTCGTGGGCTGCTAACTAACCATAAAATAATAAACATAGCATTTGCACCTACCATATTATTTCTCGCCTACATATTTTTTTTTTAAAATTATTTTTCTAAAATGAGATGCAACTAGATCTCTTCGGCATTAAATTTTGCAGTCCACTTAAATCTTTTTGGCATTTCCATTCGTTTGAAGGCATATTTGGTGGATCATGCCGAGACCTATAAAAAAAAAAAAAAAACTTTGGTAGATCTCATATTGACCAGCATCAACTTGCATAAAAACTACTGTATTATGCGACAGACAAAAAGAACAAAAATTGAGATGTTGATCACTATCTTTTTAGCTGAGCCATCAATTAATATTTTAAAGTAATTTCTACATAATTTTTTTGAATTTGTAGTACTACTATTTTGAGTTGCCTCATAAAAAACAAAGGAATAAATGACAATGTAAACGATAGTGAAATATTGCTCCGGCACCACCAGATAACCTCTCACGTGTCTCATGTCACCTACATCCCACCTACAACATATTACTAGTATTTATTCCCTACACTCAAATCTGGCATATCAACATTAGAGCATCTCCAATGGCAAATACTACAATAGCATTGTCGTTGTTATAATTTGATAATGAATAGTAACAAATTGTCAAATTATAGTAATGGTACTCCAATGGTCAAATGCCATTTTAGTAGATCTAAACACAAAAACTGTGCATCCGGTTGTCTCAAACACAACAGTTTCTGTATTTAGTTCTGTAAAAATTTATCTATTTTGCTGGAAGGGAGAAAGGAAGGGAGGGAGGGAAACAATTGGGTTTATCTGAATTGACACATATAGCAGTTGCCATATTCACCATTGGAGCACCATTTTTCTGGGACAGCTGTTATATTATAATGACAACTCAAATGACAAATCATTGGAGATACTTTTACTCATGAAATACACTCCTATAATCATTATTTCATGTATGATAATTTTTTTGTTCGCAACTTACCAACTAATATTTTTTTACCAATTTTTTAAAATATAAATAAAAAATATGTAATTTTTTAAGTTTGTCAAGGCCACACAATCCTAAAAAAATTTTAATCTGTTAAAAACTACACAACCCTATATTCTTTTGAAAAGATATAAGTATTTTAGAAAAAGTTCAACAAAAATAATAACAAATTGGGCCACGCACTAGGACCCGATGGCGAAGTAACTACACCCAAACGTAATGGGCCATGCAAAACCCAATTAATCATCAACGATACCAATGGACCAAAAGCATAAAATTGAAGTCTACTCATGAAGTGCTTAGTAGGGTCCGAGTCCAATTTCCAATTGATAAAACAATGCGTAGATTTTGTTTTTATTTATTTATTTATTTATTAATATATGATATTATAAAAAAATTCAATAAATTACCATCACAATGAGGATTAAATAGAATGCATAAAGCCCTCTTTTGGTAGAGCTGTGAGAAAGTGATTATGGTCCTGTTTGGTAGGGCTTATTTCAGCTTTTAGCTTAATTTAAGGTATTTTGATGTGTTTGGTTCAGCTTAACAATACAACTTATAACGTTTTGTAAGTCAAAAATCAACTTATTCTTTGAGTGGGGGAGGAGAAGCTTAATTTATAAGTCAAAAATCAGCTTATGTTCAGAGCTATAAGTTATAAACTGTTAGGTTATAAGTTATAATCACTTTCCCATAATTCTACCAAACGGGCCATATAGCTTATACCTTAACAGCTTATAGCTTATAACTGTGAACATAAGCTGATTTTTGACTTATAAATTAAGCTTCTCCTCCCCCACTCAAAGAATAAGTTGATTTTTGACTTATAAAAAGTTACAAGCTGTATTGTTAAGCTGAACCAAACACATCAAAATAGCTTAAATTAAATTAAAAGCTAAAATAAGCTGGAAATAAGTCCTACCAAACAAGACCAAAGTACCATCTAAGAAAAAAATAGAATGCATGAAGTAGGAGATAGAAATTTCAAATAAATATGAAAAATAAAACTTACAAGTTACATGTAGTGAAGAATATTTGAATTATTGACTTCTTAATAAACTTAATAAGCTAGCCTGACAATGGGCAAATTTGCAATAATCACTCTGTATGATTTTGGAATTCTTAAAAATAGTTTTTGAGTTTGTATGTTTTTTAGTTAAATTTTTATTTTTATTTTTTTATGTTTAATATTCATTTAATCTAAATACACTAAAAAAATATATAATTTTTGAAATTTTTAAAAAAATTCACTAAATACTAAAAATAAATAAAAATCAGGATATTTTCATATTTTTTTTTTGTGTTAATTGATTTTTTAAAATTTTTCTTCACAAATATGTTTTTTTGGGTGGGTATCACAAATATTTTAATATATAGAGAATAAGATCCACACCTAAGTGAGGAAAATTTAATCACTAACCTCAGTTAGCAAAAATCTGGTTTGGGTCAAATCGACAGAGAAAATTTGACAAGAAAATCAATTTTTACAAATAGAAATACAATCAAGTAATGTGGTTCGTGTCCTATGTTGAACAATCTTAACTGTATTTAAATTAATTAATTCTGTTTGGGTACTAAACGACAAACAGAATATAAAAGAAATATAGGAAAAGAGAATGAATGTTTGATTACAAAAATCAAACTAGAAAAAGAATTAATTAAATAAAAACATATTTTATTTTGTTACAAAAACAAAATTAAAATCTGATTTAAATAAATAATAAAAAACAGAAAATAAATAAATAACTTACTTGATTAATATCTTGAATATTATTCTGATAAAGTCCAGTGTTTGACACTGTGTCCTTAAGACAGATTCGTCCTCTCCACGGTACTTTCAAAATGCGGACGTCTATCTCCCAAGATGAAATGATCAACTACAAA